GGGATGGGGCTTCCACCACCTCTCTGGGCAACCTGTTCCAGTGTCTCACCACCCTCATGGGGAAGAACTTCTGCCTAATGTCCAACCTGAACTGATCCATCTCCAGCTTTAATCCATTCCCTCTAGTCCTATCACTACCTGACATCCTAAAAAGCCCCTCACCAGCTTTCCTGTGGGCCCCCTTGAGATACTCAAAGACCACTATAAGATCTCCTCGGAGCCTTCTTTTCTCCAGACTGAACAGCCCCAACTCTCTCTGTCTGTCTTCATAGGAGAGGTGCTCCAGTCCTCTGATCATCCTCGTGGCCCTTCTCTGGACACGCTCCAGCACGTCCATATCTTTCTTGTGCTGTGGGCTCCAGAACTGGACGCAGTACTCCAGGTGGGGTTTCACGAGAGTGAAGCAGTAGGGGAGAATCACCTCCCTCGACCTGCTGGTCACATATCTCTTGATGCAGCCCAGGACACGATTGGCTTTCTGGGCTGCAAGTGCACACTGACGGCTCATGTTGAGCTTCTTGACCGCCAGTACCTCTAAGTATGTTTCTTCAGGGATGCTCTCAAGCCAATCACTGCCCAGCCTATATCGGTGCTTGGGATTGCCCTGACCCCAATGGAGGACCTTGCACTTGGAAGCAGCCTGTGCCTGCATTCTTGTATGCCAACTGTTAGTTAACATTACAGCTGATTCCTAAATTGTGAAGCAAAGGATCTTAAATTCTGATATTGAAGATAATACCTTAATTAGATTCCCATGAATTAAACTGAATGCAAGTTAGAGGAAATGTAACATTTCAGACCACTTCAAAAAACTGGGCAATAGCCCATGCTGAAACACCAGTAGGTGAAGGATTTTCATGCTAAAGCAAATGCATCCTTTGCTAACATTATTAGCTCTTGGGTGTCCGATGGTGTGGAATCTTTACTTGCATCCTCCTCCCAGTCATTCCCAACCTGGGGCTACATCTTGTGCTGCTGTCATGAGGTTATTATCTCTGCTTCATGTACTATCAGAAACTTTGCTACAGTAAAAGAAAAATGCATCCAAGTTTTTTCATGTTTTCTATCAAAGATGATCATGATCATGGTCAACATGAGCCAGCAGTGCGCTCAGGCAGCCCAGAAGGCCAACCGCATCCTGGGATGTATCAAGAGAAGCGTGGTCAGCAGGTCAAGAGAGGTGATTGTCCCTGTTTACTCTGCTCTTGTGAGACCCCATCTCAAATACTGCGTCCAGTTTTGGTGCCCCCACCATAAGAGGGACATGGATCTGTTGGAGTGTGTTCAGAGGAAGCCACAAAGATGATCCAGGGGCTGGAGCACCTCTGCTATGAGGACAGGAGCTGAGATTGTTCAGTCTGGAAAAGAGAAGACTGGGGGTACCTAATAGCTGCCTTCCAATACCTGAAGGGAACCTACAGGAAGGCTGGGGAGGGACTTTTTACAAGAGTGTCCACTGATAGGACAAGGGGAAATGGTTTTAAGTTGAAGGAGAATAGATTTAGATTGGACCTTAGGAAGAAATTCTTCAGTACGAGGGTGGCAAGACTCTGGAATAAATTGCCCAGAGATGTTGTGGCTGGCCCCCCCCTGGGTGTGTTCTCTGGATGGAGCCTTGAGTAGCCTGATCTAGTTGAGAGGCGTCCCTGCCCATGACAGGGAGGTTGGACTAGATGATCTCTAAGGTCCCTTCCAGCCTAGGCCATTCTGTGATTCTATGATTCTATGGCCACTACACAGGCAGAAACTTCAGGACCAGAGGAACTGTACAGTTTACATTGTAGGATTACTCTACGGTAAAGTCAGGTAAATTCCTCTTACATAATGGTTTCACACTATAACTTTATTCACAGCTGAAAATGTTTGAAGTGAACTTTAGCATGTATAGATACAGCTGTGGAGAGGTGTTATTTAGCTGATTATATTCAGTCACCATCCTTAACAACAGAATTGCTCTTTTCTTGTGAAATTAAGAAACAGCTCTTGACTGACCTGCTTGTTTTCATTCTGATGAGCCTGAAGGAAGAGCTGCATAAACACTTGTATTATGGTCATAACTTCTGCAATTCCACCAGTTTCCAGCAGTGCATTCCTAAGAATTGAAAAGTTAGATTATGACAGATCAAATAATTAGTCTTCTTGCCACACCACTGTTAATAGAAATGAAGAAAAAAAAAGGTATATTCTTTGTATGTTAGAGATTCAAGTTGTGTCTGAGCTTATTACGCCAGTGTGGGAACTCACAGAAATACTAACTTTGTAGGTTTTCTTGGTTTTACTTTTAAAAAAACCCATGCAACTTCTACAAAAATAATCTATTTAGTAAGTATATACAATATGCATGCAGACACATATATTTTACCCTACTGATAGGGGGAAAAAAACTTGTAAGATTAAGAAAGAGTTTACCACAACTTAATTAGGCAAATTTGGCATCTGAACACTCCTATTGGCTTCAGAGCAACTATTCCCATGCCTACAGTCATGCATTTTACTTTAGTACTTTGTCAGACTGCTAAGTGATTCCACTCTCACCATACAGCAGTCTGGTTTCTGCACCAATGACTCTTCTTTTAGTGCCTGCACAAAGGCAGACATGCACAAAAACACACAAATATCCCCAAACACCTGCAGCACTCGGAAGCCCTTTTTTCTTAAGGAGGAAACACTTGATGAACAAAGAATGTAATTTACTAAATATATTATTGTTGTATCGAAACTGTAAAACTAATAACCCCAGCAGTAGATCTACTTAAAAAGAATGACAAAATAGTAAGTCAGGTGAAGTGAAAAAGCCACTGAAAACTCAGTACAAAGGACTGGAAGCCCCCATGTGGCAAACAATATATATTGCTTAAGCATAATCTTACTTCATTCAAAACCAAACTGACTACAGGAAGATCAATATTTTAATGCCATTAAAAGCATATCTGATATAAATCTTGAAGACTATTAAAATAATATAAAAGAGGCAATACTAGTAAGTGCAAATGTTTCAGCTAAATTCCATCTTCATGCTGGCATGGGCCAAGCCATATCAGCATTTATAATTTTCACCACAAAACTATACATTGCCCACAAATCTGTACTGAAGTACAAAATAAATTATAATTTTAAAAGTCTAAAATTCAGTGTAGTCAACTGCATCTGTGATTATTATGCAATGTTCACAGGATATTTACCATTTTTCATCATTTGCAGCATTATTGCTCAGAAGCAGACACTAAGGCATACATGTAAAGAAAAACACATCCTGAAATTATAATATATCCCAGATCAAGAAACATACATCCTGAAATTATAACACATCCCAGACTGTAATGCTCCTTCTCATGAAGAAGGCCTTAATGTTTAAATTGATCATTTGAAACATGTCACAGAATTGCAGAATCACAGTACAGTAGGAGCTGGAAGGGATCTCCAAAGACCATCTAAGTCCAACCTCCCTGCCAGAGCAAGATCACCTACAGTAGATCTTGCCACTATAATTTCAACACTTACTTGAAAATTTCATTAACAGTTCTGAAAATGGCAGGATGGCTTGCTGCTTGTGGCTGTTGATAAACAAATGAAAGAAAATTAGTCATTAATTAAGAAACAACTCGAGCAACTGCCACTCGATAATTTACAGCTTAACTCATTGATGCCATTAGACTGCAATTATTAAACTGTAAATCTCAGATCTGTAAATCTCTTCCTAAACCCTCAGATTTTCTCAGGATTAGTTTCTTCAAAACAAGTACGTAAAGATCATGGAAGATCCACACCGACATCAAGCAGGCTAAACAGCTGATAAACGCAAACACCTGGCATCCCAAACTGTTTATGACAAAGATCACTAAAAATACTGAATGTAGCAGACAGAAAGAACAGGTTGTTGCACGCAGTTGCTGGAGGCAAGAGACAGTGAATAGATTTACAGAAAAGTTTTCTCTCCTCTTTACAGACAATCCCTTTTGGATGTGTGTTGAGATTCGTGCTACATCTTCAAAATAAAATTCCAGAAACTAAATTTATTTTATCACCTTTAACACTATCACACACCTTTTGTCCCAAGACATTTTTCACTGTATTATCTCCTTATGCGAATTTCAGAGTTGCTAATACAAGCTAATGTATCAAGCTTGGTTTTTTGGGATTTTGTTGTTTTTTGGTTTTTTGGGATTTTTTTGTTTTTTGGTTTTTTAACTAGTGACAGTTTTTATCATGCTACTACACAAAGGACTGTTTTAAGAAATGCACTACTGAACATACTACTTTCTTATCCTATGTCTAAGATTTACAAGGCTTTTACAGAGCACCAAGAACAAAAAATTACTTACACATTCCCCAGAGTATATTTGCCTAAGTTAAAAAAAAAATTCATACTTCGTGTTTCTAAAGCTAGCACCTGCAGATTTGGCAAGAATACAGGCTCTTGAACAATCTAGAGTAATGCATGTGTAAGAAAATGCATTCCATAAACTTCAGGATGCATGGAAGGAATAGCATTTGTAAACGGCATTTATTGTAACAGCTTCAAGTGCCTGATGCAGCATTTTGAAGAAAACTTGTACGCTTTTGTATCAAGAAAAATATCAGCTAGAATAGAACTTTTTCTTCATTTTAATTGCACACAGGGAGAAGGAAGACTTTATGTGACCCCTGTATGATAATCTTAGAAAATAAACGGACAGACTTTAAAAAAAATTGTCTAGAAGAGCTCCTTGTTTCTCACAGTTGTCTTTGCCATATGGGAAATCTTAATCTGCAGCGCATTTTCCCATTTTACCACCCTTTCTGTCACATGGCTGCGGCTAAGCGGTACCATTGAACACGGGCCATGTAGCGCTGGGCAGTACTTAGAGCCAGTTGTTTGGACGTGTGAAGAAAAGCATGCAGCTTGCTGCAGGGCTGCTCACCAAACTTCCACGGCTAAAGGGAGAAAAAACATGGCTGGAGGAGACAAGAAGAGGCACGCATTCATCTCTTTCTTTTAAAAGGAAAACGTAGACTAGTTAGTCTCCAGAGGTGCCTTCAAACCCCAATCATTCTGCAATTCAAACAGTGGAAAGGGTGAAGTATGCTTTTCGGTCCTGTGGGCTATCAGCCACTTCGCTGGCTTTTCAGCCAGCTTGCCTTTGCTCACAGACTTCCATGATGATGCACCAAGCTACTGTTGCTTAAGACAGGTTGAACATAAACTAGAGAGGGTCCATCAGCACATGCTACACGTATCAAGATCAAATCTATTGAACAAGACCAAAATAGATACACTGGATATAACAATGAAAAATTCTCCAACTCTCTACCCTTTCCTGACAGACAGCAGAATCCACTGTACTCATGAATTCAGTTAATAGCTGCTAGTATTTAGTCTACACTACTGAAATCAGTATGAATTTCATCCCCAGTATTCAAAAAGGAAAACAAAAAAACTTCTAAGCCCAGAACCCGAAAACCCACTGTTACCTAATTCCACAAGATTTTTATCAATGCATGGAATCTACAAGAATTCAAAGAACGCTATCATAGCACAAAAGTCTCCAAGACGATTTGAAGATGTGCCTGTTGTGTAGAGGACTAGAGCAGGCAGCACAACTCTGCTGTGGCCAGCAGCAGTTCTGGAGTTTGGGAGGGATTATCAATTTCAGGAGAGATTCTATTAGGATTTTCTTGCTGTTGACACTATCTCCTTATTTTCTCAAAATAAAGAAGGTTTTTACACTTCAATAATCTTATCTGTGGCTTTGCAATATGTTTCATAGAAAGCTCGGAAAACCAAACGTACTGTCTACCAGGAACTTGTTCCATCACTTTTAAAACATGCATACTACATACAGCACATGCCATACCGAAAAGATCCAAACACTGGGAACTGGAGCTGCATGTGTGATGATTACACATTTTAAGAACACGTATCTCTTCAGAAAAAAAAACACAAACCAAAACAAAACACAAAACCACTGGAATCTTTGGAAGAAATAAAATGGGCAAAATATACCATAACATAGAGTATTGCATACACAAAATTTCTATAGAAGTGTACTACTTTTGTATCTGTGTTATCAGAAAGAAGAATCATAACAACTAATTTATAATACAGAGCCAGATCTGAATAAAGAAAGAAGAAAAATACATGTCTATTTACAGGAAGCACAAGGGAGAACAGATTAATAATCATATACTGTGCTTTATTCACATCACAGAATGCTCTGCAACAACCATAAGTAAGCATATGGAAACAAATTGTGCCCAAGACCACTGCAACAGGGCAATTCTTGACTTCCAAATTAACATACAATTAATTGGACACAGAATTTCTACAGTTAAACATATCTAGCTTCAAGAAACTACTACACTGCCATATTGCAGTTGTTTACCTGTATTTCTGTACTTTATATTTATCGATTACAAATAAGAAATGTCAATTTTTTCTTATACCAAGTGTCAAATATCCCCACATCACCACAGGCAAACCAGAGCTTAAGTCAGTCCAGCAGTTCAACTACCTAGGAAGTACCAATTCCTTGGATGGTAAGATTGACAAAGAGATAGACCACAGGTTAGCAAAGGCATACAGAGCTTTTGGAAAACTCCATAAAAGAGTCTGGTGCAATAAACACCTGAAGAAAAGTACAAAGATTAGTGTCTACAAAGCCACTGTACTGTCTGCTCTTTTCTATGGGTCTGAATCACGGGTCATTTACTGCCACCACCTGCGACTCCTCGAACGCTTCCATCAGCGCTGCCTCCGTACAATCCTAAATATCCACTGGACTGACTACGTGACTAATGTCACTGTCCTTGAACGGGCAGGGGTCACCAGTATTGAGGCCGTGCTGCTGAGGACGCAGCTGCGCTGGGCAGGGCACATCTCCAGGATGGAGGATCACCGCCTCCCTAAGGTTGTGCTCGGTGGTGAACTCGCCACCGGCTGCCGCAACAGAGGAGCCCCAAAGAGGAGATACAAGGGCTCTCTGAAACAATACCTCAGTTTCGTCCATACCGACTACCATCAGTCAACTACCACATCACCCACTAAAGCTGTATTTGCTCTGTAATGTGGAGGAGAAGGTAACAGCAAGGGAGACCTCACAGCTACAGCTTTAATTGCAGAGTGCAGCATACCAGGTCGGACTTGGGAAAATCGACAAGGTGGAAAACCAAAACACAACAGGTAACTGATGATTTATAAAGGAGAAACCAACGAATTTTGAGCCCTCTCAACTTACTGCATTTTCTTTCTATGTAACTTTGAAAGAAAGAAAACTACTTTGGAAAGCTATCTAAGAACGGAACACAAACTATAAATGACATTGGTACACCAGAGCTTTAAAAATCTGCTTATACGCATATCTATGCATTTCTAGTAACGCATAAAATTCTAATATGTGGGTTTGTCTAAACTGCAGTTGCTAACACACCCATACAAGTCTTAAAGACACTTCAGAAAGGAAGACACCCACTCACTCTCCAAACTCTGAAGAAGCTGAAAGACTATTTGTGATGGCCACTTCTCCTGTTTTTATTACTTCTGTATAACTACAGAATTTCCAATATTAATTCCATTTTAGCCATAAATCTATTCTAGCACACCATATACAATGCAAGTTAGTGGACCATTACACTACAATTACTCTTGTAATTAAAATATAAGAGTGTTGTATAGTAAGTTTCTTTTATAATGGAAGTATGGTGGCTTAAAACTATTTGGGCAGCACAGATCTTTAAAACATTTATACACAGATTAGTGACTGTATCAAGATACTATATTTAGATAAATAATGTATTATGAAAGAGCTTATTGAAAGTTCCTTCTTATCATACAATCACTAACATATTTCTGCTTATTTGAACTCTAGAGGTTTGCTTCCAAAAAGAAAAAAAATGTATAAACCAATTTTTGTCTCACGATTCCACTTTTTATTACCATATCCACACAGTCAACTGAGGTCATATCCTAAAAATAACATAATCTGACTGCCAAAAAATGCATATCCACATTCCTAAATAAATATTCAAATAACTTTCAGGCAGGCTAAATCAACCATACTGTTTGGTTTGAAGTGCTTACTGATCTAATGTCACACAAGTGTATTTACAGCACCGTGTACAAGTTATACAAAATATCATTAAGTGGTTTAGAACACAATTTCTAGATCAAACCTTTTCCTTCTATACTCTCTCTCTGAAGCGCCCCATCCTGTTGTCTTTAATTGGAACACCAGCTCCCATTTATGCACTCTCCCCCTTGTCAACTGCTCTCTTTCCATGCCTCCATTCGTTCTACATTTTGTCCACAGGATGTCCTCTCTAAACCAGCATTTAAAGCTGCTGCACTGGTCTTTCCATTCTGGGAATATCTATTTTGAAAGCACGAAGTTTTTGGAGCAGAGGCAAGTAAGGACAACATAAGTGTGCCAGCACAGTGATGTTGATTCTTTCCATAGATCAGGATGTGCAGACAAGGTAAATATGAACCTTCTTAAAAACCAACAATAAACTAATAATGAAATATTTTACTTCTTTTTATATATAATCCAGATATTTTATTTTTTTTTCCTCAGCCACATGTGGTAACATATACTGTGTTCAACTCATAGTGTATCTGACACTGAAAAATTAGGCAGAGGCCTTCTATATAGCCTTTTCTTGTGAAATACCTAGATCCCCAGATGACATGTGAAGTGCTGTTGATGCCAAGCAATTATGAAATTTGCAAGTATTATCATGGATCCTGAAAACAGAAATTTGCAGATTAAATTAGAAATGAAAAATATTTAAAGGTATCATTCTTTTCCTACCTGGAATACCTGCTCTTTAAGCAGTTTCATTGGCTGAAAATAAGATTACGTGCAATTTTTTAGTTCTAGACATTTTATTAAATCTGTAAGTGCATAGCATACATGCTAATTCACACTGTAATTAACATTTAAACTTGAATTTAGTGTTGCAAATTAGCTCATTATTTTGGAAAAGGCATTGTGTCACGTTTTCTCACAGGAAAGATTTTTAGTGAACTGCCTAACATAGCCTTTGAACACAAACTTTAATTACACTTTTGCCAATGTTTTGTATTAAGAATTTTGTTCAGATTTACAAACAAATTCAGATTTGCAAAGCAAGTAACCAAGAAGTCCATAGTAAAATAATCTACAAGGAATTTCAATTGCTTAAACTGCTGAACTCTCAAAGGCATAGAGATTGAAGTAAAAACATATTCAAATACCCCTGACCAAAGTTTATTATTGTTTTAAGACAGATGCAGGTACACATCACCTCCGCTACTCAGATTCTTATGTCCTCATTCATTCTTCATCACTTGATGAAATCTTTTTTCTCTTCTACTATTTCAGTATAAAAACTAAATAATTAGTGACATTTGCAAGACTCAAGATTTGCCTTTGCATTAGCAAGTTATATGCCATGACAGACTTTTCTATCAAATATGCTGATGTATTTGGGACCTGTCATGAAAAGAGCACAAAAAGAGCAGTATCAAATGTACTACATGTTGCACATACCAGTAATGAGTCTTTTATGATAGAAGCTACTTCTTCCAGTGAATTCAGCTGAACGGAAAGCAGCTGATCTAAAAGATGTAATGTAGCTTTTTCAAGGCTTGGTAAGTGGCGAAGCCAGAGGCTGTAGACAGCTGATTCAGGGAGAGATATCTTCCTCCTGGTTGAGAGAGAAAAACACTGTTTTCCTTGAGAAACTGGAAGAAAGACAAAAAATGCACCTTTTTTTTAAGCACAAGAAAGAAGACACAAAGACAACTCTGCAACAAGACAGAGAAGGTTTATTTTTTACAGTACTCTATTCAATATCAAATAATAATGGCAAATAATAACAGAGAATCACAATCATTTACAAATTAAACCTTGCCACATGTCTTTAAATCTCAAAAATTTCTTTATGGTGGATGGTGGGAAATGGAAACAAAAGGTTTAAGTCTGGAGTTCCTTTCCTCTCTAGAGAAAGGTCCTGCCCTACACGTGCACTCTTTCAAACCCAGACTGCTTCCTGCAGGTCTGTTCAGAAAGTGTCAGCAGCTGACAGATAAACAGGAAGGTCCTGGATAATATTACTGCTGGCTAAATCAAAGCATTACCGGTCTTTGTAGAGAAATAAAAAAATTCAAAAAAAAAAAAAATTTCAAAAAAGAAAAAGAGGTAGAGGTAAGTCTTTAGCCCACCAACACTGACTGGACCCTTTTAAAAGATAAATGGTTAAGAAAGTAATTATCTCTTCAGGTAAAACCTTCAGCTATAGCTCAGCTGAAGTGTAGTGTTGTATCACTAGGAAATAAAAGGTACAGTTTATTTTGCGACAACACACTAGCTTGTGTGTGGACGAGTACAAATAAAATGTACTAAAACAACCATGCAAGAAGAGATTATCACAGCACAAAACATCTCGGAATATGGAATATTTTGCAGCTATCATGGTAGTTGCAAATTAAATGGTTAAAAATAAATAAAAATATAAATAACAATAAATATGTGCCTTGGTCTTAAATCAAGTTAAAATTAAAAAACCTGAAATTACTCTAGAGAGTACATGCAAACTAAAGCTACCGCTAAAAAAGAAAAATACAAGCAGAAATTAGTAACCCTATTTCCTGGAGCAGGCTTCACCCATGTTTTTAATACTTGTTTTCCTTCTAGACACAATGACAGAATTAGGGAATGCAGAATTTAATTGTTAAAGTGGGGAAAATATTAAAATACAACTACATTCACATTAAGGTCATATGAGCTTCTGTGACAGGCCAGGAGTATACCATGCAAAGCACATGCAACCCTATATCTGTTCTCAGGAAAACCACACACTTTTGCCAAGGGTCCTGCCAGAGTCACTTAGTAAAAAGCTATATGAACTCAATTACTTTTATTCACTGTGATAAACAAGTAGCTCAAGAGTTAAGCAAAGGGATGTTTATTTCGGTCAGAACAACCTTTCATGACCATCTAAAGGATTTTGACTCATATTATGAAGTGGGAAAAATATGTCATGATGGATTGCCCATTGGTTTACTGACATCAGTGCAGACCATCTGTGCTGAACCTGCGAATTTGCTCTGAAAGCTTTTCAAGCTTGTGGAATGCATGCAGATTAAAGTTATGAAAGACAAATATGACTTTCACTACAGACATTCACATTTCTTTCTCACTTCTTTTCCTCAGCTTTCTAGTAACGTGTACAAACTAGTAATCATACTTTCCCATTAATTATTTTTACTGGAGCTGTCAATGGAACAATACAACAGTCTTCAGTGGAGTATCTCAGAAATTATGATGGAAGCAATTAAAACTTTGATTAAAAAGAAGATAAATGGATAAATGAGATAAAGTGTTCCCAAAGGACCTTTTCTAGTATACAGAAAAAAATTGTTTATAATACAACTCTCTCAGCCACAAGCTCTCAAGTAGAAGTAGGCTGTGCTTTCCCTGATATCTTTCCTTCCTGGGCATAGCCAATCTTCCTCATGTTCACATTCACTCAGGCAGTTTTTATCCATACACTGATTTTATCAAAAAAAAAAAAAAGCAAAGTTATATTTTACAAATTGCTTCTCTCAGACTCATCAAAAATAATCTCCTAAAACCCAGGAGAATTTGAAATCTTAAGAGACAATTTCACAGAAAAAAAACAAAAAGAAATATGGAAACACTCAAACATAAGGATCTATCTCGTGCATAGAAAAATAAAAATGGCTCTCAACATGTCAACTTTGGAATGTTGATACACTTTTCTGAAAGGTAAATAAGATTTATACAAGAAGTAATCATACCTTTCAGAAAATTCCTAAAATCTATAGAAGACTGTAGTCTCCATTTTAGCAAAAGGTGGGACAAAGTTCCAGCCAATATTTAAAGATGTTATGCCGCAATTTGTACATGAGCAGTACAGAATTCTGCTTTGGCCTACAACCTGAGCTTTCCTACTCAACTGCAAATATTTTACTAGAACGCAGAAGATGTACAGTGCATTCAGAATACAAACCCAAAGAAAATACTGTAATTGAATTAATAATCTTTATGAATCGAGCATAAAAAAAATCATACAGACAATGCTACTTACTTTAAAAAGGCATCATTCACAGCCTCCAGAAACTCTGAACTGAGAATTTCTTTTGATGCACCTCCATGGTAAAGAAGGAGAGCTTCCAGCAATGGAGTCAGATCAGGCAAAGTAACAAGAGGGAGACAGAAGAGGGACACAGCATTCACACGACTGGCTGAAATTCTAAGGGAAAAATAAATACCGTTTATATTTCAGAAAACTCAAATTTTCCATTTCTAAACTGATAAGGTAAAGGAAGATTAACTTAATTACAGAAGGCTAAATGTAATACCTAACTGCAGAAGAAATATATATTGGAAAGGCTGATGACAAGTCATTACAGATTGTCTGAAGAATAGTAAGGAGAAGCTCCTGGCAAGCCATGACCATATTGCCTTATCAGTATTCTCACAAGAGATCACATAGCCGCTCTTAAGGCAATTTAAATCAACTTCTAAGAATGAAAATACACATATCCTACTGTCTTCATGTGCTCAGCTGAAAAAAATTTGTTTCACACTTCTACAGTTTGACACTGTCCCACATGACATCCT